GCCACGTGGGGGACTGAGGGAGGGCCTACTGATGTGTTTTTTTCCCCCAAAATTTCCCAGCCTGGAGGGAAACTTAAGCAATCTGGTGCTGCCCCAAAATATCTCACAGCTCAAGTTGGTGCCTATCTGTGAGGGTGTGGGAGTCAGGGTGGCAGGTCGAGTCACCACCCCATGTTTGGCCACAGGTGAACCTGTCAGCACCAGTGATCAACACCAGCTGCTGGGATCAGCCCACCCTCGTCCCTGCTGCCTCCCACAAAGTGGACCTGTTCAACGGGCAGCTGACAGGTGTCCTCCTCACCTCCCTCTTTGTCACCGCCATGGGAGACGTCACTGTGGCTCACCTGGGCACAGCAGAAGGACGCATCTTCCAGGTGGGATGGGGGATCAGGAGGGGTGGCAGGTCCTGGCAGGCTGTGGGCTATGCTTAGCCCCCTGCTCTGCCCTGCTGCAGATGGTGCTCCAGCGCTCCAGCTCCTACCTTGTGACCTTGTCCAACTTCTCCCTGGGAGAGCCAGGGCCAGTGCGAGGTGCCATGGGGCTGCAAAGCCACTCGCTGTTCTTCACTGCCGGCACCAAGGTGAGTGGGGGGTCTCAGACGAGGGGCATAGGGTGGGCATGGAGCTCCACGTGTCCCTGACCTCCACTCTCCATCCCCAGGTGTGGCTCCTGAACGTCACCGGCCCTGGCTGTCGCCACTTTTCCACGTGCCAGCACTGCCTGCGGGCCGAGCGCTTCATGGGCTGCGGCTGGTGCGGGGATGGCTGCAGGCGCCGCCACGAGTGCAGCGGCCACTGGGTGCAGGACAGCTGCCCACCCGTCCTCACCGACGTAGGTCTGCGCTGCCGTCCCCCTGCTCCTCACACCTCCCGGCCACTCGGATGGGGAGGGACATGGCAAATGGGGTGGCCTGTGGTGGAACCCCCTCCCTGGGATGGGTGTTGTGTTCCTCAGAGAAGAGCATTTCTGCACCCACAACAGTCACTGGGCTTTGGGAGCTTGAGGTGACGCAGGTGCCTCTCCCACAGTTCCATCCCCGGAGTGCCCCGCTGCGGGGT